TTTTTTTTTTTTTTGTACCGGGGATTGAACTCAGGTCCTTGTGTTTGCAAGGCAGGTGGCGAAACCACTGAGCTAAATCCCCAGCCCTCCTCTTCCATTCTTAATGGTCAACTTGAGCCAAGTCTATAATTAATTCTTAATATTCACTCTTCCAGTTTGCCGGCTGTGCCTCCAAGAACCTGGGGATCCCGAAAAATTAGGAGAATTTCTTCAGAAAGACAATCTTAGTGTCCATTATTTCTGTCTTGTGAGTAAAGACCTCTTTTGCTTTGATTGTCTTAAGGTTTTTGCTATACAGACTCCTTTTGCATCTAGCCTCAGATTTATAGCCCTGTTTGTTTTTCATAGTATATTTTTAAAAAATATATACCTGGTATAAAATCCCAACAGTGTAAAGTATGTACAATAAAAAGCCTCTTCCTAGAACAATATTCCCAATCTTTCTTCTCTTCCCCAGAGGCAAATACTGTCAAAACTTGGGATGTTCTTCTAGTTTTTTTAATATTATTTTTATTAGGTATAATCTGCATACTATAAGATTACTGACTTTAATGTACCATTGGTAAATTGTGATAAATGTATATCTATTACCACATAACCACCCTCCTGATCAAATAAGATCCATCATCCCAGAAAGTTGACTGACCTCTTTCTGGTCAGTCATATCTGAGATAATCACTATTTTGATTTATAGATTCTTTTTGCCTGTTCCTTTACTTCATATAAATTGAATCTACTCTTTCATATCTGGCTTTTTTTTCCTCACAAAACACAGTGTTTTGGAGATTAGAAGTTCATTACATTTTACTTATCTCTTCATTGGTTGGTGGACATTTAAATTGTTTCCATTTGGGGACTGTTGTGATTAAAGCTGCTATATGAACATTCATGTACAAGTCTTTCTGTGAACATGCGTTTTCACTTCTCTTGGACAGATGCATAGGCATGGATTTACTGATTGTATGCTAAATAGGTGTTTAACTATGTGAAGTTGCCAAGTCATTTTCCAAAAAGGTTGTACCAGTTTACATTTCCATGAGCAATTTATGGGAGTTCTAGTCACACAGTTTTCTTGCCAAAGCTTGGTATTGTCAGTCTTTATAATTTTAGTCATTCTGGTGGATACATGTTGGTATCTTGTTTTAATTTGTACTTCTCTGATGACTAAAGATGCAAGCTTCTTTTCATGTGCTTTTTGGCCATTCACATAGTTTCTTTTGTGAAGAATCTGTACAAATATTTTTGTTCATTTAAAAACTTTGGTTGTTTTGTCTAATTATTATGAGTTGTTGAAATTGTTTATTTCGAATTCAAATTCTTGTCTATAACCATACCACCCTGAATGCACCTGATCTCATCTGAATACAAATTCTTTTTCAGATGTATGTGTTATAAATATGTTCCCCTAGTCTGTGGCTCGCTTTTTCGTTTTCTTAAGGCTACCTTAAGGGACAATTTTGTAATTTTGACAAACTTTTATTTATTTTTTTTCTTTTACGGTTAGTACTTTTTGTGTGTCCTAAGAAATCTTTGCCTATCCATTGAATTAGCTAAATGCCTTTTTCAAAATCAGTTGATCACATATCTGTAGATCTGGATGATCTGTTTATGTCATTTATCTGTACGTGTCCATCCATATGCCAGTACCCCACTGTCTTAATTATTGTGGTTTTATCATGTTTCAAAATTAAGTACATATGGTTTGGAGTGTTTTCCAAGATTATTTTGGTTTCTGGGTCCTTTCTTTATAAATTCTATATTAACTTAATCAAGTTTTCTATAAAAAAAAAA